TGGCCAGGCATAGCCCCAGGTGCCGTGCCCGGGGTCAGCTGCTCTGCCGAGAGCGCGGTGGCCGTGAGGGGAGGGCCGGCTCCCCCCCCTCCGCCCGCCTCCCCGCTCCCTCAGGCTGTGAGGAGCCTGGGGCCCTGTGCCGCACCGGGCTGTGTCAGCCGCCGCGGGGGTGTGGGAGCTGCCTCGGGGGGAAGGTGCCGGCAGCCGCACTGGTGGCGGCCAGCTGCTGAAGTGAGGGCAGGGCTGGCTGGGGGGGGGGGGGGCTGCCCGGTGGGTGTGCAGCCTGGCCTGGCGTGCCGCGTGGGGTGAAGGGTCCTCTCTGGGGAGGGCTGAGCCCGTGAGAATGAGACGGTTCAGAGGACGAGTGCCCCAGGGGGGACACGGAGACCGCTGACAGCATGCCTGCCACCACACTCGTGCCAGGAGAGGACAACTGCAGCAGCTATTGAGTACGCAATACCTAAGCGTGGGTCAGGGGCCTGGGACGTGCACGATGAGGAGGGGAAAGGTGCCTGGGGAAAGAGAGTAACAAGGTAGAGAACTTGGGGAAAGTAGAAAGCACGTGTGAGCGCTTGAAAAAGAGCTGCAGTTGCCATATGGAGAATGATGACCAGACAGTGAAGTGCCGGAGCTGCTGCTCCGGTCAGGCCTCCCGTTACCCAGGTGCTGGGATTGCCGTATGGGAAAGGACTGCCTGGCCTTCCAGAGCATCAAAGTCTTCGTCTCTACCTCCACTGTTCAGAACCAGTAGCTCCAGTGGAAGAATAGGATACTTTTCTATAGAGCAATCCTTCCTAGCCCTCTTTTAAGTAGGTGTTGATCTGAAATGACATGTAAAGATACATATGCCTTCCAAATGCTTTCTTTTATACTCACTATAATTGTAATTGGTCTTCTGTGTAAATACTAGATGTTTTTGAATCATATTTAGCTATTGTTTGAATTGTTCTGTGACAAGAGGAAACACTGCTGCTTTTGGAGCAAGTAGCAAATACGGTTTCTGGCACAATCGTGGCTCTTTCGTGGTGGGAAGAGGGTCTTCTTGCTCTCTGCTAGATGCATGGACAAATAACAACATTAAATATTGACCATACTACTGATCAGTACTGCATTAAAAAAGTCGCTTAATTAGCCTTTTCTGTAAAACCACTGGTGAATTAACACTTAGGTTAACATTTGATGATACTCAAATCCAAATCCAAAATTGTATAACTAATAACTGGTTATTAAGATGATTCAGAAAAGATGGTTTTCACCAGTCAGATGTTCATAGAAATACGAATATCCAAGAAAATCGCAAAGAGTAAGATCAGGAATGGGATCCAGGTATTTTGGACCTGATTCTCCATCGCTCCTGGTTGATCCATAATTGCACCACATCCTTTCAATTACCCTTGTGTGCCCCTGTTGGCTTCAGCGTGCTCTTGCTTTATGCCATTTCATGTGAGAGAAGCACCAGGTCTTTTGTTTAATTGTGACTACTTACTTTTAAACCATTTACTTTTTAAATCAGGAATGGGATCCAGGTATTTTGGACCTGATTCTCCATCGCTCCTGGTTGATCCATAATTGCACCACATCCTTTCAATTACCCTTGTGTGCCCCTGTTGGCTTCAGCGTGCTCTTGCTTTATGCCATTTCATGTGAGAGAAGCACCAGGTCTTTTGTTTAATTGTGACTACTTACTATTAAACCATTTACTTTTTTTAAAAAAAAAGTAAACACTGACAGCTACTAACAATAATCAAGCTATATGAAACTACTTACGTTAGTTTTCTCAGGAGGGAAAGGGTTCCCATGGAGCAGGAAAAAGTCGGTGAAACAGTTGGAAACATTAAGAGAATATGTGTATCAGGAATGTCCTGTACACTTCCCTCTGCCAGCTAGTCTGTGTACTCTTTTGCAACAAAATCTGGGAGTAGCAATGGTAATTGCTGTTATTGCTATTATCCACCATGAACTTGCAACTAACTCTTCTCCTTGTCTTAGATTTTCCGCTTGCTCTTGTTCAGTCCCATGGACACGAAGTTATCTTCCTACTGTTACTTCCCCATCATAGCAAAAAAAGCTGAAATTTCCATTTTCTTTCTCAGGGCTCTCTGTAGCTCTTCTCCTTCTTATCTCTGTCTTGTTTGTTGCTGCATAGCCAACCTGGTCTGCTGTCTTCCATGAGCAAAACTTATCTTAAAGTGCTATTTACTTGCTAGTCTAGAAAGCTGCTCTACCTTTTTCCACATCCTCCTTAAATATAAAATGATTTTTCTGAAGTTGTCTGGACTTGACTCCTCCTTAATTCCTTCTGAGGATTCCTTTCGTGGAGTGTCCCATCAATGTGGCAACATGATTATGGGATAATTTGAAATTATATACATATCTCCCTTGTTTTGTCCCAAAACTTTCTTCTGTGATGTCATTTACATCAGAATTTTCCCCATTACCATGTCCTTTATCTGTGTGTTTTTCACGGTGAAATTTCTCTGCCACAAAGGACAAATCTTAATTTTTTTTTGGAAAGTCTATTTTAATATAAGGCAGATTAGTAAAAAGAAACAATAAATTAGTTTGATCAGATCAGTCTTTTCTCTTAACTGTTGCAAGAAATTATAAAAGAGAAATACTACAGGGCTTGTTTTGAAAAAAAAATGACATTTCTCGCTACAGAATTCTGCTGGTACATCTTCAAGCCTTCAATAGAATAATTAATGATGAATTAATTTGCTCAGACAGAATTTTTGTCAGCATCTTCCTCCTCCTCCTGCTGGCTCGCTCTTGTATCTGACAATGTGCCAGAATTTGAATAATGGTTTAATTTAGCTCATATGAACATATCTAAAGCTGTATCTGTAATGAAATATTATAAAGTTAGGACACATCACAATATTAATAGAAAATGGTATTACGCTAAACAGAACTATATTAAATCACAGTTTGCTGGTGAAGAGAACATATTTTAAGTTTGGAAAAAATTAAATACAACTCTTGCAGCAGTAGATGGTGGGAGTATAGTTACAATGGCAGAAAAGAAGTAATCCTAGGAACCTCAAACACTCGATTCCTGTGCTGTATTTGTCATCTATTATCTGTGAAACTGAGTTTGGACTGTTCATCTGGCTTACTGAAATCAGGATTTGTAATGTATGTGGAGCTTAACTTCTCTCTTCAGATGGAACTACACCAAGAAATCATGTTCTTCAATTTAAATGCGAGTTCGGCTAAATTGTTTCTGATACCGTTTAGCCTACTGATAGAG